TGATTTTATACACATACTATACTTCGGCATATTTTTGTGTAGATTTTGAGGCAGGGACTAATGGTACCCATCCAACAGTGTAGGAGCTTACTTGGAGACTTCATGGTAAGCTTCTCTATTTGATTCGATCTGTAGCACATGAAGTTCCATTGCCCTACTTATCAATCCATGTCTATTTACTTCTTTCCAGATAAGCATTGTTGTTCAGTTAAGACAGTTTACTCTTGTTAGATGCCCGTGATAATGTGACACCGCATTTTGAAAGCTTGTGATGTCGTTGTGATCATGTTTAGACCCTATCTTAGACATGCATTTTGTAATGTATTTGAGACTTATTCCATTTTTTTATTGATTTATCACTCTTTTAATAACTTAATAATCGGCTTTTATAATTGTTGTTGAGTATTATCTTGCCTAACAAGTGGATTAGGTGTTATCATGGCCTTTGGTAGACTTTAGGTCGTGACACCTAAACATAGCCAAAACCTGGATATGAGGCTAAAAGGAACTACCAATTTCCAACACTTTAGATCATCATGTAAATCTAAAACACTTTGTGCAAGAACAAAATCATGAAATCTTCAATTCTGGGTAGTTTCAATTGTTCAAACTAGGACCAAAACCTAAGCATGACAAGTGTAAAATCTGCCAGTTTCCTGTGCAATAAAGCAGCTTGTAATTCTGTATTCAAAATTTGTAAACTTAATATTAAGTAACCATCAGCTCTAAGCAGTTTCAAGTGTACACAACTGGACAAAGGCCCCAGTTCTAGGTTCTGAATCCACAACTGTGCAATTCCATACCATGTGCGTGCCTTCCATTGAAACTTTCTCAATAGATTGAGCATCAAGTGCTAATGTCGCACATTGAGAGATAGCCAATAGAGAGGACATGTATAGAGTAATGTTTCCTGCAAAAGAGAATACATTGTTACTAAAAAGAAATATCATTAATCTATCCTCCATTAGCACTTGACCACAGTGGCAGTGAACTCTTTCTTTTCTACTCTCCATCACTCTTCTACCCCTCACCTTTATCTGTATCAGCTCCTCGACAGTCTTACCCACAAGTGGGGACGTTGTAACTTATCATTATTCACAATTTTCCTTCCTTCTACATCTTTTCTTCAGGGATTTGGGCTTGTGATTAATTACTCTTGCAAAAGCAACTTGAAATCAGTATAAAGGACTTAATAAATTATCATCATTAAAATATAATGCTAACAAACTAGACGATATACTTCGACGAGATATTCTAAAAGATAGTTGTGTTCGCAATTTTTCCTTTTGATTTCTACAAGCATAATGTCACATCCCGATCTTGGGGAGCGGGACTGGTGCTCAACTGAGGTAATCCAGTCAAGCAAGCCTGCCAGGTGCCTACTATCCAATCTTGCCCATGAATAATTCACAAAGAAATAACATGTAATGATCAATCGAGACTGCACACTACCCATTTTCATTCATTAAAGGGTTTCATTGATGGTTAGCAAAAGATACAAGCTCATGGCTTATAAGTGGAATGAAACGACAAAACAACATTTAGAGTTTTTCCTCATATATATGTGACTCACAATGTATCTACGGAGCCTCTAAACATATATGATAAAAATTAAGGAAGTGCCAGCGACAAGGCCTCGGCTATATCTCAAAATAATGTACAAGAGTCAACACAATATAAGGCCCCGGTGTAGAGTAGGGCTCGCCGAATCAGTTGAGAGGATGGTACACGACTATCGAGAACTTGTGCCACCTGCTAAGGTACCACCTGCATCTATTAAAGATGCAGCGTCCCTGACAAAAGGGACGTTAGTACATATGGAACAGTACTAGTATGTAAAGCTAAATACCCTCACATGGAATAGAATACCAATATAGGTAGAGAAAACATCGAAGCAATGAGAAAATCAATAATATTTAAAATGCCAAGTTAAAACATGATAAGAAAGTATAACATAAGTACAAACTTCAAATGAGCATTAATAATTTTGGTTGAGAGATTATTAGCTACTGACATACCACCATGTACGTGGCAGAGAGTCCGATTTTGGCCCGATCAGCTAGGCCGTCTCACCACAATGTTGTTTGGGTTGACATGGTCTTTGTTGGCAATCAATTCATCCCAATTAAGGGGAAATAATCTCATCATGGTGTGAAGGCAATTTATCTCCCAATCATCTCATACACCAGCATGTGTAGTGCGGCGTAGGCCTTTACAACCGACATTTTCTCGGTGACATAACGATACTCCCAAAAATATTTTATGTAAGGCATTTCCTAAATCATTTTTCTTTTTATCGACTCCTGGGACGTATATCATTATTCATTTTGGAACTAAAACATGAGTATGCAAGAGCTGAAAACACATTGAATTGCTTCCAAATAGGGGAGCATAGCGATTTGCAATTGAAACATGAATTGAAATCATAATCATTTGATACATCAATCACATTTGAAATAGTTTTCAAGGGAGAGCATAAGGATGGTAATTGAAACAAGATTTGAGTACATAGGCATTTGATAAATCATTCATTTAAGGCAATTTAAAATAATAAGAATAGGGACTTGGACAAACCATACTTAGATTTCATAAGGGGCTCATAGAATCTGATTTTACCGGCGGAGTTTAGCCAACATACCTCAATCGAACTTTCCTTAGGATCCCTATGAAGTTCCACTTCTCTTTATACTTCAATCTACATCAACATAGTTCAATAGAAACTACTATTAGTAAGAATTCTCATAATCTAGGTTTTTTAGGCATTTTACCAAACACTTAGCGTGCATACTTCTCTACAACTTTCTACAATGGGATTTATTCATCCCTCAACCAACTCCCATTTCAACAATTCATCTACCACCATCCTAAGGCAACCAATAACCTCCATTGGCACGTGCAAGCCCAACAATTTACTCCCAACTCAAGAATTGCATCTTCCATTCTTCACATATACCCAAATTCGTGATTGGGGGCTTATGGATTCCAATCAATATCGCATAAGCCCCAACACTAAAATATTATTAATCCACTCACTATAGAATAGCATGTGAGCCAAGGATAAATTTTTACCAGGTTAGTTGAAGACCTTATGAGTTTTCTTCCTTGAATCTTCAAGAAATGGGTAAGAATTGAAGTGCGGATTTGTTAGAGCGCTCTCTCTCTCTCAAAAATCATATTTCCCATCTAAAACGACCTCCAAGGCATTTTATTAAAAATAAAGTCACGTAAAAAAACCAAAAATTCCCCTCCAAGTCGGGTCTGCGATTACGGAATGGAGCGCGGAATGCTTCTGCGCTCTGCGAAAGGGTCCTCTAGATTTTGAGTTGGAACTGGATAGGTCTACGACGGATTTGCGGTTCTCGAAATGGTTCTATGTTCCGCACATTGGACTACGAGATCTCCTTCAAAAATTTCCCATGTGGCCTGACCAATTTCGCGATGAATATGCGATTCACAAAACAGTTATGTTGTCCGCATAACCCACCACGAAATAGCCCTCAAAATTTAGTTGTTCCTCCCCCAATCCACGGTGATTCTGCAGCCAGCGGAATTGATTCACGGTCTGCATAAATGACCGCAGACCGCCCTCTCATGTCAAAACTTCTTCCCACTTCACGACGCATTGCACAATCGACAAATCCATATTGCGGTGAGCTTTTACAATCTTCTAAACATATTAGCTTGACTTTGACATTAGAAAATCGTTAAATCCTGGGCAAACTCTTACAGAGCCTTACACATACATGGGATCAGTGACGCCTTAATTGATTGGAAATAGAGAATTAAATTGGCTTAACCCGTGAGGCTAGTTCAACTCGGATTATTCACGCCACGTACTATTTTTTTGGAATATGTTTAAATTTTAGTTAGAAATTTAACAATATTGCAGATCTAGACAATATCAAAAATAGTGGTGCGCGACCCTTTTTCCTTTCACCACTCTTCTTCCTCTTCTTGTTGCTTCTTCTTCTTTTTTTTCTTCGCTTTCGTCTTCTTCCATTTGTTGTTGTTTTTCTTCTTCCTTTTTACTCTTTTCGTTGTTGTTGCTTCTTTGTCTGAAGTTCGTAAAAATGACTAAAATTGTACTAAGTTATATTTTGTGGCTATGTTCTTAAATAGTTGTCTTAAAAGTGATTATTTGTGCAAATGTCGAAACTTGACCACTTGTTAATAATTTTAAACCCATTAGAGTTTGAAAATAAATTCTTGTTCTTGTAGAAACGTCATTTTTTTGTTGTGATTAGTGACTATTAGGTAATGAACTATGGACACTGCTATTTGCCTGTTCTTGTGAAAAACGCTATTTTCTTGTTGTGATTAGTGAATGTTAAGTAATGGACTATGGACACTGCTATTTGCTTCAAAGTTTATTCACTTTTTTATTTTGTTTCATAAGTAAAGTCGTGAACTTGTTCACCACATATTAAAAGTCGAAGCCATGTGATTGGTCACTCTTGATCTAAACCTTTTCTTTTATGTGTTTTACTTTTCTTTTTTTCTTAGTCAGACTTGTGTAGCTAAATATCTAATGGTCTGTCTTCTCTAATTATTTCTTTCTCATTTTACTCCTTATTTTTATTGGGTGCTTGCTAGAATAATCCAAATCTTTTTCGGTAGTCATTATTTTCATATTACCACTCCACTAGAATGCAAATGAAAAAACCCTACAGGTAAGAGGTGATAGTAGGAAATTGTCCATCATCAACTATTTTCAGTGTTTTTGGATGATTTACAAAGTAGTAGATGTGAATTAGAGTTCAATATTAAACTCTATAAAGATAAAATTGTTAGTATAATAGACAAGCAAAAAAAATATCATGTTTAAAAGAATAGTTCTGGGTTACATTCAGAAATAACATTCGACCAGCGTAACTTCAGAAACAATGAGGGGGAAAAAACCTTAATACTTTTATCATTGAAAAGTCAGAAATATGAAATGTGACGACTAAGTCATAGTGAGATTAAAAATCGATACTACCTTGGACCCTAGAAACATGGGCTAAGCAAAATTATAAGAGTTACACTTTCCAAGTAATGTTGTCAAACATCCCATACTCCTTAACAATGTTAAAGTAGAACATCAGAATTGGAGTTCGTGAAACACCCCCTAAAGGTAATTCATACAATTTTGACAGCCTTAGAGAGGACATTCATTTGTTCATGTGGTCTTTAATATAAAAGATGAAGTGACCACCACAACTTTCTATATTTCCTCGAGAATGACAGAGCACAAAGTAGTAGTAGTACTTTCATCGCTCATCAGTAGATCAGTCTGACCAGCAACACCTCATTGACTAAGGGACAATTCCTAGAGCTCATTACTTACATCAACCATTATGTTACATTGCTAACTAAATAAGTTAAATTCCATTGGACAAGAGTGAATACTATGGAAAGCAAAAAATAAACAAGGGAGGACAAGATCCTGTGATGCATGTCAAGGTACTGGTAATTAAAATCCTTGTCTGCTTTCCAGGGAGAATTGGAAAATCAAGTGCCACAAAGCCCTGCCATCACATTCATATATCCAGTTGCTCGAGGTTCATCATGCTCGCTGAATTTTGTATAAGTTGCTTCCTAATATCAACCTGTATTTGCCAAAAGGGAGATGGGTAATAAAAGCGAGCCAATAGCAAAAGGGTGGAAAGAGATGGACAATCCACCATAGTTATTAAAAGGAAATGCATTAAGTCTGCTCCAATAAGTAGGTATCCCCAAGAAAAGATTCAGCCTAACACTTCATGCAGAAAAGAAAGAGACATACCCTGGATCCCATAAGTGAAGAGAAGACAACATTTGCCTCAGCTGCGTCCTCCACCACTAATTGCTTTAACAGCCTAGTCTCCGGGTTCATTGTTGTTTCCCATAGCTGGGCTGGCATCATCTCCCCCAATCCTGAAAATATTTCCATCGCATCACATGAATTGAACAAGGGAGGTTTAGAAGAACTTGCATGTGTATGTATAAGAGATGCCTAAGTAGTGTATCGACATTGCTGGGAAAAAACACTAAAAACAACAATCACATTCATTAATAGAAAAGAAAGCATCCAATAGAGAAGGTTAGAGAGTTAATATGTATAGTGCCCCACATTGGTAGAGAAGGGTTTAGTACTAAGTAAACACCCTATATAAAAAGGGCTAATGTAAGACACATGAATACAAGAAATTCTTTCTTCCCATGTCTAACTCTCATAGACAACATCAAAAGTTGGGGAGTCCATGCTGCCTTCAAAAGCTATAAGTAGGATACAAGGCCCCAAATCTGAGCACATGCTTTTTTTGTGCCAATGTTCATGCAGCAAGGCTTTCTCTTTCCACGAACTCCCTAAGGTTATCTAAATTGGTTTTTGCCATTTGTTCTGGGGCCCTCATTTAGCTGGCTAAAAACTTTGGCGAACTCTTCGATAATATCGGGATATGCAACTGAACATTTCTCATATGGAATACGCTGTCTTCAAAACCAAAAAGCCAAAACATGTCATGTTTCTTATCTCACCTTTGAACCTCTGTATGTTATATGATGCATTTGAAGGGAAGGAACGCTGGACCTTTTTAAGTTCTGCATCATCATAGCAGTAGTATACTTGTTTTCCCCTCTCAACCTGAAAAATTCCAAATAGAACATTAAAGGACAATAAAATACATAAGCTGTTAAGACAACATCCGAAAGAAAATAAACCTTGTAAAGAGGTGGAACACCAACATATATGCAACCTTCCTCAAAAAGAGCTCTCTGCAACAATTAAGAATATCTCAATCAGGTTCTCCAAACAATCAACTACACATCTTGATTATTTCCCTTCATAATTCAACTGTTAGATTCCAGCAAAAAACTCTAGTTGATGTTTCATTAGACCATGAATAAAAACGAAAGGGGCGCACCTGATATCTGAAGAAAAAGGTTAACAACAACGTTCGAATATGAGCACCGTCGACATCAGCATCTGTTAAAATTATGATTTTATGATAACGGAGAGCTTCCTTATTAAAATCCTCCCCCTGAGATGCAGAAGATTGAATGAGAAAAAAGTCTGAATAAACAGCACATTGCACGAACCTAAAAGATGAGCATAGTACCTTAACTCCAAGTCCTAAACCAAGAATAAGATTTTGAATCTCTTCATTTTTATACATAGCTGCTTCATCCTTTCTTTCAATATTCAAAATTTTGCCTCTTAAAGGAAGAATAGCCTGCAAAACATGAATAACTGATATAATTTACATTGCAGTCAGAATATGCCATTAACTTAGAAAGCAGTAAGAAATTAGTCTTCCAATCGCCCCTTCTGCTACACAATTTCTCCAGATAAGTTTGATCTATCTTTGACCAATGTAAATATGCATTATTCACGCTTCAGCTGAACAATTCCTTTTTCCTTTTCTGGCCACAATGAGGATGTCAGGTGGGGAATCAGGTTGCAGAACTTCCATCAGCAATTTTGTAAGCTACAGCATTGTCTGAATAACAGGGATAACTAATCACAGAGCACCAACGAGTTTAGTTACCTGAAAGCGCCGATCACGGCCTTGTTTTGCACTTCCACCAGCTGAATCACCCTCAACGATGAATATTTCTGAAAGATTTCAAAAGAAAAAAAGATTTTGAGAAAAGATCTCAAAAGAAATAAAGATTTTGAGAAAAGGCAGTTAAATATATATATATATATATATATATATATATATATATATATATATATATGCATGTCTATGCTGAAAGACACGTTGTTAGATAGTTATGTATAAATAATCCTAGTCCCATATGTAGTAGGAGTAAAATATGTCCTAGTCTCATATGTAGTAAGGGTAGAATATGTCCTAGTCCATATGTAGTAGGAGTAGAATATATATTATATATAGGGCTCAGTAGGAGTAGAATATATATTATATATAGGGCTCATTGTATCATTGTTAATAAGATAGATTTTTCTCCCGTACATTCTCACATGGTATCAGAGCTTCAGTGAGAATTATGGATGCGCGTCATTCCAGCGACATCCGAGAAGAAAGATCTCATCGCCGTGCAATTTTCCAGCAACTTCGTCTTGTTCCCAGGGTTCATCACTGCTATAGTGGTACTGTGCATATACCCATACCACCATCAGAAACCTTTGTGCGACCAAACCCTAGAAATTCCAGTCCCATCGGAACAGAAAAGTCGGTCACCGTGCGTCTTTCCGGTTGATGACTCACGATTGATTTGCGCTATCTCCTCATCGGTAAGTGATGTGCGAAAACCAACACTACCATCTTGTTCGAAAAAGTCAGGCAACAGAACCCCAGTCAATCGCTCCCACAGAAAGTCTCTCACACGCCTCCACGCGCCGCCAGAACTAGGGTTCCGACGAGCTACAGTAACTTTTTCGGCACGTGTGAGCCATTCCAGCCACTTTGTGACAAAACTTCTTCAGGACAACTTACTTGTCCAGTGATTCTGAGCCTACTCATATAAATTACATCAAATTCTGACAACTTTTATTTTTTCTGGCGCGAACAATGATTTCCGGCATGAACAGTGATTTCCAGAAAAGTTTCTGTTTTCTAATGGTGTTTTAGAACCTATTTTGCAGTGTGAATTCATTTTAGTCTCACTATTTTCAAATTTCTTCGACGACTTTTCGACCGACTTCTGTTTATCATCAACCACCTGGTTTTGTTGCTCAAGGGAGTCTAGTGGCCTTGTATGTCGCTTGCGCCAGTCGCTTTATGGTCTAGAGCAGTCTCCTCGAGTCTGGTTTGGTAAGTTCAGCACGGTTATCCAGGAGTTTAGCATGACTCATAGTGAAGTCGAATGATCAGCTCGTAGATATTTTCACCAAGTCCCTTATTGGTCATCGTATTAGTTACATATGTAACAAGCTCGGTACATATGATTTGTATACACCGGCTTGAGGTGAAGTGTTAGATAGTTATGTATAAATAATCCTAGTCTCATATATAGTAGGAGTAAAATATGTCTTAGTCCCATATGCAGTAGGAGTAAAATATATATTATAATTCTATGTCTTAGTCCCATATACAGTAGGAGTAAAATATATATTATATATAGGGCTCATTGTATCATTGTTAATAAGATAGACTTTTCTCCAGTACATTCTCACACACATAATCCAACTACACAATTAAAGAAACATAACACGAAAGATCCTGACATCAGCATATATGTTGGGTGCTACATTTCAAAATTTTACTCCCTCAATCCTGGTTTTACATGAGACTCTTCTTCATAATACACAATGTTTGACACACTTAACATATTATCACACTTTAAATTACCTTGAGAAATTTAATTAATTACACAAATTGGTTTTCAACCATGAAGTGATATCCTCTTTATCAAATACTCCATATATCCTTTTTGGCCAAATACCCAAATAGCCCCTCAGAATTGACACGAAACAGCAGTTAGATACTCTTTTTTTATTTGGTAAAGGTACATGCCAATTAGATATTTTTACTTTACACACCTCAACTAGGCAGGGATGTGTCTCTTAGACATCTGAATCTGACAGTAATATGCATGCCTCCAACTCATTTTTGAGCGCAAGAATTGACTAAGTTACTTTTGTTTTCTTTTTAACTTGAATGCTCACCATATCAAGCCATCTTACATCCTTATCCCCCACTCTAGCGATCCTCAACCCCCCCATCCCCTATCTCCAGCGATTACTTTTTCATTTTCAAAACTTTGACTTACAATCTTAATCCTTTTTCCTCAAATTATATTTTCCAAATCTTCAAACTGTTACTAAAGAAAAATAAAGGAGAATATCTTACAGTTTCTCTTAGAGAGAGTAACATCTAACACACACGCTAACAAGATAAAATTGCTACTTTACTTTTTCATCGACCATACATCCTCACTTTCAACATTTTTTACGACACATTATGTTCCACACATTATGATCGGGGAAAAAACTCTACCTCTTTCTGAGATTAGGAATCCTATTGCTGCGAGGGAGAAAAAGTTACCTCAAAAGGCAGCAATGGCTCTTATAAAGGAATTCAAAACTATTCTCCGTGTCTCAAAGGAGATTATGTCAAAATAGTCAATGGTTCTTTAACACCTATCTCAGGTTATGTCGTTTGTACTCCTAATATTGAACTATTATCTGTGATCCATGTCCCCGAGTTCCCCGTCAATCTTTTATCTGTTAGTGCCATCACCAGAGCTCTAAACTGTAAAATCAAATTCTTTCCCGATAACTGTATTTTTCGGGATTTTCAAACATGGAAAAAGATTAGCAGTGGTAGATTGCATGATGACTTGTCTATATTAGATGGAATTCAAAACTCTAGTCGGACCTTTTTTGGGGAAAGTAAAGATATCAACCAAGAAATATACAACAGCATAGACGGTTAGGACACCATCATTCTTTGTTTTGAAGAAGTTATATCTCAATTTGTTTTCAAGGACTCGATTTGAACTTTGTTTTGTGATTCGTGTGAATATGTCAAGCATACTAGAAACTCTTACCCTGTGAGTGATAATAGAAGCACAACTCCGTTTATGACTATTCATTCTGATGTATGGGGTCCTACCCAAATTGTTTCTTTGTCCAGTAGTCGATGGTTTGTTGCTTTCATTGATTGCTGCATTAGGATGACTTGGGTATATTTATTAAAAGTCAATAGTGAAGTTTTCTCTTGTTTTCAGTCATTTTATAAGATGATTTGTACTCAGTTTGATGCCAAAACAAAAAATTTGAGAACTGACAATGGTAGCGAATACATGGATAAAAGATTTGGTGCTTATTTGGAGTCCAATAGGATAGTCCATCAGATTAGGAGCCCGTTTGGATTGGCTTGTTTTAAGTGCTTTTAAGTCAAAATCGCTTTTAAGCCATTTTGTAGTGTTTGGATAAAGTAAAAAAGTGTTTTTAAGCTAAAATGACAAAAACAAGCCAAAAGCCAAAAGTTAGAATTCCTAACCTATGGCTTAAAAGTCACTCAAAACAAGCTCATCCAAATGGGCTCTAGTTGTCCTTACACTAGTGCACAAAATGGGGTTGTTGAAAGAAAAAATAGGCATATATCAGATTTAGCAAGATCTCTTATATTCACCATGCATCTACCAAAACCTTACTAGGGTATGCCATTCTAGTAGCTGGCCTATCTTATCAACAGAATGCCACTTAAACCCTTAATTTTCAAAGTCCTCTGAAAGCTTTAAAGGGTAAGAATGAATATATTGTTCCTCCTAAGGTGTTTGGGCGTGTTTGCATGGCCCATAGTAGGAATTCTAGAAAACTTGATCCTACAGCTATAGAATGTGTTTTCATTGGGAATTCTCCGACACAAAAAGGCCACAAATGTTATCATCCTCCATCTTAGAGATCATTTGTTATGTCATGGGCGGCTTTTCAACTGTGCCCCATGACCTCTTGGGCGCGCCCCGTGGCGTTCTAGCGAGCCTTCCAATGCCTAGCGCCACGGACGGCCCCGTGGTCTTGGCCGCGCCAAGTGACAAGCGC